TTTGGTGGCCAGTTCACGTCTTCTGTAATTGAGCGTTTAACGCAACATTGTCAGTATGATACCATGCATTAATCTGACCCTCTGGATCTCGCATACAATATACTGTATTTCCAAGGCGGGTGCCACATGTAAACTGTATTGAAACAGCTCTTATTTTCTCACAACAGTACAGTAAACGATGCACACAACTAATTAAATATACATTCTGGAAACTTCATTCAAGTGGTTATATCAGTTTCATTAAATATTTGTTCCTTTGTTTCCAATATGGTTTATTTCTACATTTTTCTACGAACTTATTGACTGAATGTACCACAATCCAAACATGTATGCACAACTAACAAAACCTTTACTCATCGCCTACTTTTACAACGATTACAAAACGTAGTGACGCTGACACACAACCTGTGCATAATCTGCAGTAATGCCATTTTTCAATCGATATACAAGTCACGACTCAAAAAGTTGGCAGACTATTAAAAATTCTTATATTTTTCTAGTTGCTCAACAAGAGGTCACCATATTTATGTGATGGATTAATAAAATATTATTTTATGGAATATCAAAAGAATATATTGAATATACGTATGTACATCATAAGCCAGACGAATAGTTCTTATTGTAAATGACATTAGCGAATTGACTTTATGGGTATATAATATGTTAAAATTTTAGCAGTATAAACCTTCCACATTTGAATTTATCCTCAACAAAAATCCTAAAAAATATTTTCTAGGCAAAATTCAAACCTCGTTCTAATATTAAGACGGTTTCTTCCTTTCTCATGTTATATCCCAAAATGCGTTAGAAAAATTCAAGCATATATCCCCTCGAGATCCAAGGTAGCTTCATTGCCTGAATTCTTTTCGTATTGTCTTGCATTTAAAAGGCACTCGAATAAAATTGAAGGAGCAGTGTCTACATCAAAGTTAATCGTTGTGGTTGATGTTGTGTCAAACATTTTCCATTATGAAACTGCAGTAAAGTTTCTTCCTCGTGATTATAGAAGTCTGTTTCTTATATTTCATGAAAATATTTACAACATCATTTGGAAATAATTTTTAACTTGTTATAAAGATTAATTTATCAAGCCTATTTATCAAGTCACAGACATGTTTTATCCTTCACATTATACATGGTGGTTTTCAAAGCAATACTGAAGGAATTGAAATGAAAATTAATGATCTTATAACCCTAAGATTATGACAAAAGTGATAAAGCTCTTTTTCTTTGGATTTGTTTGTTGAATTTCGCACAACGTATTCGGGGGCTATCTGCGCTAGCCGTCCCTAATTTTGAAGTGATAAACTAGAGGAAAGGATTTGTTTGTTTTGTTATGGATTTCGCGCAAAACTACATCAGGGCTATCTGCGCTAGCCGTCCCTAATTTAGCAGTGTAAGACTAGAGGGAAGGCAGCTAGTCATCACCTCCCACCGTCAACTCTTGGGCGACTCTTTTTACCAACGAATAGTGGGATTGACCGTCACTATATAACGCCCCCCACGGCTGAAAAAGCGAGCATGTTTGGTGTAAGGGGGATTCGGACCCGCGACTCACAGATCGCGCGTCGAACGCCCTAACCACCTGGCCATGCTGAGCCATAGAGGAAAAGCAACTAGTCAACACCACCCACCGTCCATTTTTAAGTGACTCTTTACTAACAAATAGTGGTATTGATCGACGCATTATAATGTCCCAACGACAGAGAGAGCATGATAGGTGAATGGATTAGATCCTGCGACCCGCAGATTGCGAATCAAATGCCCTTACGACAAGGTTATGTCAGTCCTTCGCTGTGGAACGCTGAACATCATGAAATTATAATAAAGTCTGTTTATACACATTTTTGTCATATGTATTCATAAAAACAAAAAGGAGGAACGTTATAATATAAAAAACGTGGAATTTAAAACACGTATAATCTATAATGCCGTACATGTTTCTTCCTACAGCTCTCATACTTATTATATATTATTAAAGTTTTTTTTTGTCTTGTTTGAAGTTAAGCACAAAGCTACACAATGGGCTATCTGTGCTCTGCTCAGCACGGGTTTCGAAACCCAGTTTCTAGCGTTGTAAGTCCGCAGACATGCCGCTGTGCCACCGGGGGGGGGGGGCTATATTATTAAGGAACATATATAATATAAATACATGCTTGATAATGAAAACTATTTTTTTAAACAACACATGAATTCGATAATTTTTTTGTACACGAAATATGAAATGACAAATAACAAACGTAGATTGGAACATAAGTAATAGACATAATATATTTTCACAGATAGATCACGTTTTGAAAATATTTAAGCATCCAAACTACTCCAACGTATTAAACCTATACATCAAACAAAATGTTACTGTTTATAGATGAAGAAAGCTAACAAATAAGCAAAAATGAGAAATTCGATAAGTAACTCAGTTACTTCATTAAAGATGAAAATTTTCGATAGACAAGTGCGCGGATAAAATGCCTTTATTTTGAGTAAAACGTTATTTGAGAAAACAAAGTTTTGAAGCGTTGAGCTTAAAATAAATAAAATAATTTGTTAGCAAAATTTTTATAAGTCTAATCAATATAACACATCACAGAAAATAGATGACAATGTATTCAACTTTAGTTATTTCGGGGAAACTTCATATTCAACTGCAAGAACAGGGTTTTTGGTTTTGTTTTTTATCAGGGCATCATTTAGAGTATGGTTATTTAAGGTGTTACGAACTAATTAACCTGCCCATCAATCGCCAAATATTTGTGTCGTCTTAAATAGCTTTTAAGACATCATAGGTTACCTTATTTTATCTAGGATTGCCCATTATGTAAAACATTTAATATATGAAGTTTCTCAGTTATCTAAACTTGATTTTTAATTGTGAACTTGTTAGTATTTATGAAACTTCATTCTTTAACAAGATAATTACAAATTTCCGTTATAGAAATTAAAGTGGCCAAATAATAATTAATACTAGATGTACGTTTGCGCCGAAGAGTGTTAAAATCATCATTTATGTACCTTATACTTGAACGTATATATATATATTTATAAGTTAGCTGTTGTTGAAAAATTTCATTCACACCACTTTACTCGATAAAGTATTTTTTACTGGTAATTAAGCTTTCGATAACACAGGCATGATGTACTCTTAGAGCAAAACGTATTCCAAGCTTGGAATGTTTTAAAGAAGCATAAACTAAATAAAATTTTAAATAAAACAGATTGTTCTCTCTCTTTTTCTTTACGACTACTTGTATACAACAAGTAGTTATCTTTATTTTCGAACAAACAAAAATGTTTGTAGACAGAATTGTGAGAACAGATTACATAACATGTCGATAATAAATAACCTCTCTATCATCACCTGCGCTCGTGTGCTCTGACTAGATTTGTATTACTTCTGGACGGCCCGGCATGGCCAGGTGGTTAGGGCGCTCGACTCGTAATCTGAGGGTCGCGGGTTCGAATCCCCCTTACACCAGACATGCTCGCCTTTTCAGCCGTGGGAGCATTATAATGTGACGGTCAATCCCACTATTCGTTGGTAAAAGAGTAGCCCAAGAGTTGGCGGTGGGTGGTGATGACTAGCTGCCTGCCCTCTAGTCTTACACTGCTAAATTAGGAACAGCTAGCGCAGATAGCCCTCGTGTAGCTTTGCGCGAAATTCCAAACAATCAACAATCAATCAATTACTTCTGGAAATGGCTTTCTTTCATTCGTCACAAATACAGAATTCTACATCATTTATGTAACATATCCTTTTGATTAAGTCTCTTTTTAAAAACAATAGAATTTAGTCGGTTTGTATTGTAGTTATTGTACATGCCTAATTTATATTGAGTAACTGCAGTGTAGAACAACGTCAAAATTTACTGTTTATACGTTTGAATACTAATCCTTCCTCTCCGTCTATTTTACAAAGAGTGCCCAAAGCACTTCTACGGTATAAAAATCATTTTCTATGAACTTTATTTTCGTTGCTTATTCTATCATTCATTTTTATATATTGTTGTGTTATTTTTTGTGCTAATGTCTAAGAGAAAGCAAAGTATTACTATCATGTGTTTCATTTTAATCGAATAATATTTGGAAATATCTTTTCGTTTGGAGGAGTATTAAGTAGAAAAATAAATAAACGAATTATCCTAAAATTACTGAACATCATTTTTTTTTAATTGTATAAGCAGTTAGGTTTGTACTTTTCACATTACAATACTTCTAAACATCAACTACAGCAAGTTGTCTGAGATTCTGTAACTGAGTCTCATAATTTATTTATAATGAACTTTGTTTCATTCAGTTCCTTTTCTTTCTTTTCTTTTTGTTTGTCATAGGCTTATTTCTAATCTTTGTTTCAACTATGCTTGGTATATCAGCTGAAATGCAATTATTTTCTTTAATCTAACCTAAATTAGAACCAATATGAATTATGTTTCATCTTTAGAATACGAATTATTTTCTATTTTAACCGATAATTTGTGATATATATTTTTGTTTAATAATTTGTGATTATCATTTATTTCAGTTTCGAACAAAATGTGTAATTATATCTGTTATTCTAATAGAAAAAAAGACAAATTGTAAAATGTTATCAAATTAATTCACAAACCATTAATTTTCATAAGATTATTATTTATACTTGGAAAAGTAGCTACTACCTAAAACAGAAGTTTAATGAAAATTATATAAAACTTACTGACAAAGTCAAACCATTAGGTCCTCTCACGTGCCTAGCTTCATCCTACGAATAAGCTCTCACTAAAATGTAAATGTGTAAATTAATGTACGTATTTCTAAAACAATAGGCCCGGCATGGCCAGGTGGTTAGGGCGCTTGACTCGTAATCTGCGGTCGCGGGTTCGATTCCCCGTCACACCAAACATGCTCGCCCTTTCAGCCGTGGCTGCGTTATAATGTGACGGTCAATCCCACTATTCGTTGGTAAAAGAGTAGCCCAAGAGTTGGCGGTGGGTGGTGATGACTAGTTGCCTTCCCTCTAGCCTTACACTGCTAAATTAGGGACGGCTAGCGCAGATAGCCCTCGTGTAACTTTGCGCAAAATTCGTAATAAACCTAAAATAATATATCCCGCAGCAAAAAAATTTAATATGAATAGCTTACTGGTGAACCTAAGCATTGTTCAGTTTATGCTATTTCGCTATCAGCTCAGTTTACATTCCACTCGATGCTGCTTCACCACAGAAAATCATTTAGTGTGGCTAGAATTAAGATTGTATAATATCTAACTATATACATTATATTCAATTACTATCATAACGTCCTTCGGTGGGACAGCGGTAAGAATTCGGATTTAGAATGCTAAAATCAGGAGTTTGATTCCCCTCGGTGGACACAGCAGATAGCCCGATGTGGCTTTTCTATAACAAAAACACACATATGCGATTATAATTGTTTACTATCTGAACTTCGTTTCTTTTTCAATAAAAACAAATTCCAAAATATTGGTTTGGCTTAAAAAGATCATGACAGTTAATAAGTTGCTGTAAGATATTTTTGTTTGTATTGATCGTTTCTACAAGGAAGAACCAAATTTAGTTACTGTAATACTTTCAAAATATAAAGGAATGATAAAATACGAAATATATTAATTTTATCATTGTTTGTGTTTTTATCATCCATATTTCCACTTTTAACTCATTATTAAAACAGTCTAGGCGTTGCATGTTCAGCTAGATTTCTGAAGACACGGAAGAGGGTGCTAGTATATAAAAAAAGTCACTTCATCGAATCATTTAATAGCCAACTGAAACAAAAGAAAAATAATACTAAATGTAAAAGCAAAAACTCAAAAGCCTTTTCAGACAAGCAATAACTTAACTTGAGCTACAGGATAAAGCTGTAGAAAGTTGCTCTATTTTGTTTTTTAATTTGATAAGAATTTGTATTGAAATAAATGAAAAAAAAAATATATCGTAAACAATTTAGAGAATTCTGATTAATAGTGTCTTCGTGACAAACATTTGACCAATAATTTTCACTAAAAAAATCCTGTTTTCTAATGTAAAGACTAATATTCTTAGCTAATCATAAAGACATTAGAAAACAAAGATCACACACTACAATCTGAATAAATATTGTGTAAGATTATTGGCAATCAAACATAACTAGAATTACCGGTAATTAAACTGAACGAAATTTAAAAGCTGTAAATTAAATACGACTTTACAAAAAAAAATATGCCAACGCAGGAACAGGCGGACAAATACAAAATCAAAACGAGTTCTCAATGTTAGGCTTTCTTTCAAATTCTACTAGTGTATAAAACATTATGTCTTAAAGGAAAAATACGTCCGCATGCAAACGAATGTTTATATTTATTCTTTCAGTTCTGAAACATATCTGAAATTGTTAGTTGAATCATCGAAGTAACGGATTTGCATAAAATGTTTCATCACTAAAATTTATTTTATTATGAAAAAATACGTTTGCGTAAGATGTTATCCACACAATAGAATAGAATAAAAAAACTGAAAAGGCTTTTTATTAAATAAGTCAAACTCGTATATGTGATTAGGCTTATGATGTGTAAAACAAGTCCTGACTGATTATTTGTTTGTTTGTTTGTAGTTAAGCACAAAGCTACACAATAGGCTATCTGTGCTCTGCCCACCACAGGTATCAAAACCCGGTTTCTAGAGTTATAAGTCCGCAGACATGCAGCTGTGACACTGGGGGGTGGCGTCCTGACTGAAAATCCCATGTGTATGTTTTCTGAATGAATACATGCATCAAAATAAATGTAACGAAATTAGTATAATAAACCAAACAATATGTGAACGTTTAATATTCTTGTACGCTCTGAAATCAACTTCTATTCATTAGTTGGACATCATAATGTTTTACAAAATGTATATCGTGTGTAAGCTTTGTGAGTTTCTGAAATATAGATAAGGAAGTAACAACTTTCAGGTTAAACTATGAATTTTAGCAGAAACTAGGCACTTTTAAAGGCGAAAGACAAAATTTCTTTCGACGTTATGGATACTGGTGAAATGTGATTATATGTCCCATATCTTGTATGTAGCCCCCCCCCCCCCTCCAGTGGCACAGCGGTATGTCTGCGGACTTACAACGCTATAAACCGAGTTTCCATACTCGTGGTAGGCCGAGCACAGATAGCCCATTGTGTAGCTTTGTGCTTAACTAGAAACAAACATGCATGTAGGCAAAATGAGGTCGACATGTGATCCGATGCTAGAAGTATCATGTGTAATATATTGCCATTATGGGTGACAAAATAAAAACAAAACGGCAACATTCACCGACAATGAATTAGCGTTGTATTTGTTGGATGTACCAACATCATTGTCGAACACTATACTACTATAGTCATGAAGCTCGCTCTATCTATACAGATCACGAGTATTGACATCACAGTGGAAAAATATGTCCTTCTCCAAAATGATAATCTCAGACCACATATCTTTCCTCGTGTTTAAGAAGTTCGGATTGATAGTCCTTCTCTATCGCACATATGTGGCCTTACCTAGAATCAAGTGCCTTCATTCTTATTGATTCTCTCAAGGAAGATCTGCGTGAACAACACCTTCAAAGAAATAATGGTCTTAATATAGTTATGAATAATTGTATTCGTGACACCATATATAAATTTTCCTGCACTGGTGTAAAAAAGCTTATGGAAAATGGAGAAAATGCATAATAGTTATTAAGAACTGTGGTAAGAAATTATGTCTGCTTACCTCCACCCTAATCACCTTTGATGCACGTTTCCAGCTGTAATTTGTGCTGTTAGCTTACAGATAATTATAACAGAAACCTCGAAACGCCCTGTTTTATACAATTAATATAATTGCTTACCGATAACATAACTGAAGTGTAAATCCATGTCTATAAACCCGTACAACCAGAGTCTATTTAGATAAGATATTAGAGAAATCACTTCCACCAATGCTTATTGTAGAGTAAAAGTAAATTTATTGTAGATGAATAAAATAAAGAAAAAGCCAACTACTAAAGATCTGTATTTCATTGTGCCAAAAGTCGTCGTTTATTTCATTTTATTTAACTTCATCCTATAAAATAATGTACCTTAAAATATACCATGAAATTGTTATTAAGTATTTTTCTACTGTTTGTTGTTAAGAACCAAGCTAATTACAATATGGGCAATCTATGCTGTGCCCATCACCGGAGGCCCGGCATGACCAGGTGGTTAGAGCACTCGACTCGCAATCTGAGGGTCGCGCGTTCGAATCCCCGTCACACCAAACATGCTCGCCTTTCAGCCGTGGCTGCGTTATAATATGACGATCAATCCCACTATTCGTTGGTAAAAGAGTAGCCCAAGAGTTGGCGGTGGATAGTAATGACTAGCTGCCTTCCCTCTAGTCTTACACTGCTAAAATAGGGACGGCTAGCGCAGATAGCACTCGTGTAGCTTTGCACGAAATTCAAAACAAACAAACCCATCACCGGTATCAAAACCCGATTTTTTAGGGATATTTTTTAATATAACTTTTAAAGAGTTAGTATTTGTTTTCAAATTGCAAAATAAGCATTTTTCAAGGTTAATAGGTTTTCAGAATAAAATCATATTCACAGATCTTTGTTATTTAATAAAACTGAAAAAATAATTATTAATACCCGCGCTCCGGGCAGATATAACTTCTAGTTCCTGCGGAAGGCTATTGAGCCTGTGGCCTTTTCTGAAATTGTCTGACAGTTCCAGAACAATGTATTCATAGTTGACATTCAATAATGTTCACCATCCATGAGAAAAATGATTTTATTTAAATTTTAGTTTAAAAATGAGCTATCATCACAGCATCACATCACAGAGTAGATTTTATTGAAGTATTTCTTTGCAGAAATAACAGTGCCTTGCTTTTCTGTTGCAACACGCATGAGATTTTCACTAAAGAAAAACAAATAATTTTTTTAAGTTTGTTTTTTGAATGTTTTACATTTGAAACTTGCTCCCTTTTGTTTGTAATTGTTATTGGTTAAATCTGAAACATATAATTTTTGTGAAAATTTCAATTGTTTTATAAAAATGCTACCTAGTTATAAAAATATAACCCAGTTGTGATTGGTGATGATCGGCGCGGTTGTTTCCGAGATCCGAGTTTTGGATGTATACATCGCAAGCTCCATTATAATAAGATGTTACTGTGCGCATAGTTAAATTGTACCTTTCAATATTGTATTATCGTATTCTATACCTCATAGTGATTGTAGTATCAATTTTTACCTGTGAAATTGTTTGTAATTTTTTACCTCACAAGCCAAACATTATTTCATAATATATTTCTAGACGCCTAGGTAATTATATTTGTAATTATAATTATATTTGTATATTATACTTAACATTAGCATTAGGCCCATTACGATTTTATCACTAAATTCTTTATTCATTCCCTTAGGTTTTTTCAAGAAGAAATGTGTATAAAAATATAGTTGATTATAATCATTCTTTGCCAACTTACAAAATTGTAGTTGTTTCCTTAGTGCAAAGCTACACAAGAAGATATCTGCACTCTGTCCACCGCGGGCAATCGAAATCGGGGTTTTAGCTGACCCACCAATAAACCGGCTTAAGTAGCGCTTTCACACAATAATAAATGTTAATCGCTATTCTACTGAATGTCACATAATTATAAAATTTTAAATAAGTACTAACTTAAGTTTACTGGACATAAGAATTACTTTAACTTTTAGCGATAATTTAGGATGAAGTTATATTTAGAACATTTAGTACCAAACCTACATTTTGAGTTTCCATATAAATTAAGTGACAGTTGTGAAAACTAAATTTTCCTAAGTGTTTTTGATGGAAAATGACAACTCACTTTTGAGTTTAATCACCAAGATATGAGTATTTACATACTATTTCAAAGATGCCGAATCATGTATTAAATGAATCTGTATATAATACATATATATACATCAAAATGTATTTTGATTTTGTGTATTTAAGATTATTTGGTTGATACTTCTTTATCGGACTGAACGAGGCCTAGCAGCTCGTGTGCCGGTCTATGGACAC